TCTGAAATGCGAGTTTACGAGCTCAATAGTCTTTCCGCATAGGCCAGCTATATCTCCGCACCGTAGTATAGGACTTTTAGAATCCAAATCAAGGCCTTTATCCAGATCTAGTGCAATGTTAAATGCACGAGACGCTTCATTCAATTTCTGCGTCCAACTGCAGCTGCAGCTATAAACGAGCACGTCGTTTGTATTTTCAATCTTTAGGACGTTACAAATGTATGTCATATTTTTAAAATTTTCTTCAACTAGAATATTAGCTATAAATCATTATCTTAATCATAATTTCTTTGTTGTCTTAACATTTAGCAAATTTTCTAATAATTTGACATATCATCATGCTACGTTGACGTCATGCTCAGAATATTCTCTTTGGTTGCTCGTTGGTCTATTTCACAGGTCTGTGGTCTATTTTCATTCACAAGATATCCTGAGGTTTTATCAAGAAAATTGGTTTTATCCGTTTTAATATTTTATTCCCGAGTTTTATTCTAATGTTATCTTTTCTTGGCTATAGTAAGGATTTTTGATTGGCTGACCGAGAATAGTAAGTCTATGATTGGCTAACTTCGACGATTGCCGGAAAGACCCGATGCTTACCCGATGTCTACCCGAGGCCTTGTTGAAAGCCCGACCTGAACTATCCGATTATGCCCGAGCGTTACTCGACACGAATGTGCCCGATGTTTTGAAGCAGATGTTTTCTGAAGTAAGCAGATTCAAGACTTTCTCTTCATGTTCTCATCTAATATAAAATACTAATATATATTATTATCAAGATTAATGTTTTTTTGTATGTAATCTATAAACTCTAAAACTATTGCAGCTAGGTATTTGTGTAACGATTTCACCAGTAATGCCAGTCCGCCAGCGAGCGGTGTCACTCGCTGCAACTCTTTTTAGCGCGGATAAAGACGTTTTCCCGGCATGTATTTTTATATATTAAAACCTTCCTTTTAAATAAATAGAGATTTATTACAGCAGCATCAAAATCCGTTGCGTGGTTTAAGAGGCTTTAGCGGATTCCATGACACACAGACAGAGAAACGCCAAAAACAACTTCATTTTATATTATAGAATGATTAGCAAAATTCCCATAATAATCTAAAAGTATTCAAATTTTTAAACGTAGAACTCATATAATTGGGAGCATAAAACTTAAATAATAGCAGGTGAAACTACGGTGTAACACATATGGATATGAATTAGTATTGATTGTCTTAGTATCACTTTAGCAGCAAAAGTGTCATTTTCATTTTCATATTTTCAGGATCAGTTCACACTACACTGCGAAGTGAAGGGCATTAGGGTGTAAACTATGTCTTAGATTATGATTATAATTACAATGGCGATTACTGTAGCCTGGTCTGATAACAGCTAATGTTGATGCATACCGACTCGAAGAATTCATCAATTCATTCATGTCCATAGCAGCTACAACAGTCCACTGTTGGACTATCGGGGGATATTGTTAAACTCACCACGCTTGGCAGGCGCGTTGCCAAGCGCTGTGCAAGATTTTGAATTTAGAGGAAATGCTGCTGCCCATTCCCTTGATGATGATCCCACAGTTACTTTTTAAGACACCCATGTGTAGAATTGAGGTAATTCTATTCTAATCCGGCATCACATGGCAAAGAAGACTATCTACATTAATCTACACTAATATAATAAAGAGGAAAACTTTGTTTGTTTTTTTGTTTTTTTGTATGTATGTAATCGATAAACTCCGAAACTACTGGACCGATTTCGAAAATTCTTTCACCATTAGAAAGCTACAACATTCCTGAGTAACATAGGCTACTTTTTACCACGGGAAAATTCCTCATTTCCACGGGAAAACGGTTAGCAGCAGGAAAAGCGGGAAATACAGCGGATATTACCCAAATAAGCCAAACCGCTTTACCGATCTTCGCGAAATTTGGCACTGATATTACTAGCATAGTAAAGATGGACATGGACTACTTTTTGTCAGCCCTCGAGGATCTGGAGTACGAGTACCTGATGAAGACCACCAGCATCCCATCTAAACTATAAGAGATACGGTCATGGTTTCATAAAAAAAGTTGTTCACCATGACGGGCCGCTTCTGCTGGCACATGGTCATTGAGGATCTGGAGTACCTGATGAACATCACCAGCATCCCATCTAAACTATAAGAGATACGGTAATGGTTTTTAAGTAAAAGTTACTCAGCATGCCAGGCCGCTTCTGCTGGCACATGGTCATCGAGGATCTGGAGTACCCGATGTAGACCACCAGCATCCCATATAAACTATAAGAGATACGATAAAGGCTTCAAGGTAAAAGTTATTCAGCATGACGGGCCGCTTCTGCTGGCAAATGGTCACGAGGGTCTGGAGTACCTGATGTAGACCACCAGCATCCCATATAAACAATAAGAGATACGGTAATGGCTTCAAAGTAAAAGTTATTTAGCATGACGGGCCGCTTCTGCTCGCACATTTACCTCTGCTGGATCGGAGTAATGGACTTTTTACTACGGGCAAAGATCCAAGTTCTACGGGAAAACAGGTAAGTAGCAGCGGGTGAAACCGCTGGGCGGGCTGCTAGTATTTAATAAATTCAATATTTTATCGCTAGGTTCAAAAGCGCGCGTCTCTTTGCGTTTGAGTATGTATCGACCCTAACCAACCCAGCCCATATTCCAGCCCAATGAAGTTTTTCATTTCTAAATATATTTATGGTTTTGGTCTTTGGTTTTGGTCAGGTTTGAGTTCGGATCGCGTCGGGTTATTTCGGCAGCCATCGTCCGCCTTCTGATTGGTCGCCAATCAAGGTCAGCTGCTCCGAATAAAATATTACGCAGAAAGAGTTTGGAAATAAAATAAAACCTCACCATAAAAACTCAAGTTCTTTTTTAATACCAAACTTGACTATGAAAAATCACAATCAAATCAACTGACAGTGAGACTGACAGCGGCAGAAACCTATAAAAAGCAACAAATCGCGAAATAAGAATAAATAAATATAAATAATGAATATGTAAAAGGTTTGCAAGAATATTAATTGTATTATTTTGTGCCCTGTGATAATAAGGTGATCTGTATAAATAAGGTCTGAATGTGTGATTGTTTATGTAGGAAAGCACGAAGGAAAATCCTACTCGTAAAATGATGCAAAAACGTAGCCGCTTTGGAGAGCCAACTCAGCTGGTAGAAGCCACTGTGACTGCACTCCGCACCAAGAAGTTCATGAGTCTTCTCAGAATGTTGGAATTGGAAGTTAAATAATAATCACATAACGAGAAAAAATGGCATCATCATCAAAGAAATGGTGACTCGTTAATTCTTGCTGTTTAAATTACACAATAAGAAACTAATTGCGAAAGATGCTCGTGTTCAACAAGACCATGGCTATTCGATTTGACTCTCGTGTATAGCTCTGAAATACCACAAATTTTACATGCCGTTGAGTAAGACAAAAGACAGCAATATTAACAAACATATTAACATTGTGATGAAGAAGTTTATTCAAGAAGTATCATGAAACGTAACCCCCTAGTGATACATGAGGATGCTTATTTTATTAAACTAAAAATCTTTTAGATTAATGTATTTAGGTATACTTATAAAGATTTGAAGTGGATATATATTTATTTTCATATAGGTTTAGGTTGTTAGCTATCAATATTTACAAGTCGCTAATAGATAAAAAATTGTTTCGATTGGGAGAATCAGTGCTAGTTGTATATTTTATGTTATTCATAAGGATAATTGCGTTGAATAAATTGGTATCTTTCTGCTTAAACTTTTTTATTTTTGTCTCTATGTTTTGCTGACAATATGGTGTTCTAATTCATCACTACAAAAAAGGAAAAGTAGTTCATGATTGTGACAAAACAATAGGAATAGATGAGAATAGGATCACCGAGCATCACCAACTTACACCAGAATAGGATCCTGTAGCTACCTACCTAAAGCTATTTACAAAGTAAGACGCTCTAAGGGATATGTCCGCATTTCTGTGTTTTGGTAAGTTTTTGTATTCTGTTCTGTGCAATTACGTCTTGTTATTTACTAACATACCTACACCGATAAATAAATAATATATTATAATCTCAACTATTATTAATTTATTATCAGACTTGGCCTGAAAGAGATGCACGCTGATTTTCTAGTTCTTTACTGCAGTTCTTCTTCTTCGAGAGACCGATTTGTCCAACGACCGGATGAACCCTGGTGTTAGAGTTTTTCAACCGCCTACTAGTAGCAGGCCTCTGACATGGTTGTGTAACGACCGCCGTTTAAGTCATCAATGTGATCTTAGACATCAACCAGGACCGACGGCTTATCGTGCCCTCCGAAGCTCCGAACCATCCTTCTTTCCGGACAATCAAGTGGTTCAGTCTGCAATGTTCTAATCAGACTGGGAACAAACTCACAAATGATAAATATCAACTTTGTAAGTGACTCCACCGGGAATTGAACCCGGAACCTTCTGTTTCCCAGGCAGCCGTACTAACCACCACTGAGCCACATGGACTGTCAAACTTAGCTGCAGTAAATTACAGATAAGGCGTGACTGGCAGATGACAGTTTTGACACATAACCCGACCAAGTTTCGTATATACCCAGACTGGGTAGGTTGATGAGCTGGCGATAGTACCAGTTGTTTTTCTGTTAGCTAATCAGTTAAAACCATGTTAAAACCATTTTTTTTGGAAAGCTTGCAAAATTTTCACCGCAGGCAGGATTTGAACCTGCGACCTTCGGCATCAGTACTGCCGACGCCCTGACCAACTAGGCTACCGCGGTTCTAATCGAGCCCGCGAATTTAGCAAGTACCTACATCTTGTCCACTATCGCGTGGATGGGCTCCATCTACCGGGATAGTTTTGCAACTAATTCCCAGCGACTAATTCATTCTTTACAGATTGAATGTAGTCAAAGCGATGAAAACCCGCGATAAATTGAATACCAAATTTTAAAACACTTCTCGTGTTAGGTAAACAATTTTTGGAAAGCTTGCAAAATTTTCACCGCAGGCAGGATTTGAACCTGCAACCTTAGGCATCAGTACTGCCGACGCCCTGACCAACTACAACTAGGCTACCGGGGTTCTAATCGAGCCCGCGAATTTAGCAAGTATATCTTGTCCACTATCGCGTGGATGGGCTCCATCTACCGGGATAGTTTTGCAACTAATTCCCAGCGACTAATTCATTCTTTACAGATTGAATGTAGTGAAAGCGATGAAAACCCGCGATAAATTGAATACCAAATTTTAAAACACTTCTCGTGTTAGGTAAACAATTTTTGGAAAGCTTGCAAAATTTTCACCGCAGGCAGGATTTGAACCTGCGACCTTCGGCATCAGTACTGCCGACGCCCTGACCAACTAGGCTACCGCGGTTCTAATCGAGCCCGCGAATTTAGCAAGTATATCTTGTCCACTATCGCGTGGATGGGCTCCATCTACCGGGATAGTTTTGCAACTAATTCCCAGCGACTAATTCATTCTTTACAGATTGAATGTAGTCAAAGCGATGAAAACCCACGATAAATTGAATACCAAATTTTAAAACACTTCTCGTGTTAGGTAAACAATTTTTGGAAAGCTTGCAAAATTTTCACCGCAGGCAGGATTTGAACCTGCGACCTTCGGCATCAGTACTGCCGACGCCCTGACCAACTAGGCTACCGCGGTTCTAATCGAGCCCGCGAATTTAGCAAGTATATCTTGTCCACTATCGCGTGGATGGGCTCCATCTACCGGGATAGTTTTGCAACTAATTCCCAGCGAATAATCCATTCTTTACAGATTGAATGTAGTCAAAGCGATGAAAACCCGCGATAAATTGAATACCTTAAAACACTTCTCGTGTTTTTTTTTTATTATTATTATTTGTTTCACATTTTGTTTTTCTTAATGTTGAACGAGTTCTTAATATATAAATTTCTTAAAACTAAAGCTCAGCAATTTGATACTGGCTTTGTTTTTCTAATCCATTCTTGGTTAAACAGGAAGCACATACATATTTAATATTTATACATATCTTAAACCTATATAGATGATAAGTTAACATACTATACTATAACATACTACTTAATATCTAAATTACATCAATATCGAAATAATATATATAAATTATTTTCTTTAGGTATTATTAAAAGATTTTAGATTATTGACAATTGACTCTATATATGTCACATAAGACGTTATAGTGGTTTCTTTTTTAAGGCGTTCCGTTTTCCATACAAAAATTCAATGGAGTTATGTATGTAAAGGAGACAAGAGCCGGTTTATGGAGTCCGTGGGTATATAAGATTGTCGCAAAACACTAAAAGAATTTTAAATCATCAGATTTCCCCGTAAAGCGAGTCGCCACTTTACGAAAATAGATGGAGCTACTGCTGCAATAAATACGTTTAATTTTATTGTGCAGAAAATACTGATTATCTTTTAACTATAAGTAGTTTTGCGACAAATTTACGTGTGCCTTCATCATTCAGAATAAAGTTTCTTTAAAAAGAAACTCTACAGCTCATGTGTAACCCGACTGAAGTGCAGTTTTTCGTTTGTATGACGTAACGAACCACCTTAAGGTGGTTCGTTACGTCATACAGAATCAAGTTTCTTTAAAAAGAAACTCTACAGCTCATGTGTAACCCGACTGAAGTGCAGTTTTTCGTTTGTATGACGTAACGAACCACCTTAAGGTGGTTTGTATGACGTAACGAACCTTAAGGTGGTTCGTTACGTCATACAAACGAAAAACTGCACTTCAGTCGGGTTACACATGAGCTGTAGAGTTTCTTTTTAAAGAAACTTTATTCTGCATGATGAAGGCACACGTAAATTTGTCGCAAAACTACTTATAGTTAAAAGATAATCAGTATTTTCTGCACAATAAAATTAAACGTATTTATTGCAGCAGTAGCTCCATCTATTTTCGTAAAGTGGCGACTCGCTTTACGGGAAATCTGATGATTTAAAAATTCTTTTTAGTGTTTTGCGACAATCTTATATACCCACGGGACTCCCCATCAAGTTTTTTAAACCGACTCTTGTCTCCTTTACATACATAACTCCATTGAACTTTTGTATGGAAAACGGAACGCCTTAAGCAAGTCCTTGATGTCATAAGGGGACACTCGAAGGTTAGTACACAGCATTTCGTGTGAGTGTCGGAGCCTGCCAAATCTTGGGCAATGTTCCAAAAGATGGTCTAAGGTTTGAATAGATGTTCCGTCGCAGGGGCACTTGTCATCTTGTGTTATATGAAATCGGTGAAGGTAAGCTTTATGGAACCCGTGGCCAGTGAGGATCTGAGTCAGCTGAAAACTGGTTTTAACTTTTTTGAAAAACTGCTTTATGTCATCCAAATGTGGGAAATGTCTCTTGGTATGGGCCCCTTGCTCTGCATTCCTATAGCGTTCTTGCCAGGTGTTTCGGTTTTCTTTATTAATTTCTTGTTTAACAAAGGAAATGGGAAATTGTGAATAGTCATTTTGTGTACTAAGTTTGGAGGCGTCGTTAGCTTCAAAATTTTCACCGCAGGCAGGATTTGAACCTGCGACCTTCGGCATCACAGTTAAAACCACATAATTTTCTCACTGGTAGGTAGAGGTGAAAAGTTGGGAGTAAGTACCACACGAAAGCAAACCATTTACAATTCGTGCTTTTGAATCCCTCATTGAGCTAAGGATACTACTTTTGAATGTTTTTGATTCAATTTTAGTAAGTATCCTTCGCTACCTCGGATTACAAAATTAGCACTCGCAGCAAAAATCAACTTTGCTCTCTTGTTGTTCAAATAACTATTGAGATCCGGTGTCCTATACTACAGGTAGGTATACTATGTTTTGATTTAATAATATTTCGGGGCCGGAACGGGACGGAAGATGAGTTGCTCGAAGAATAATATGGACTTCTTTCTACCAATCTAGGGCAATTCGGCCAGCTGTGTATTGACCACCCCCTTGCTAGTGACAGCTGTCACTTTGTGGCTCTATTTAGACAGATTTTCAAGAGCTCTCAAAGTTATTTCACTTCAATATTTTCAAAATTAATATTTTTACATTTATCTATTTTAATACTACTAAATTCATTTATTTTGAGACATACAAAATTTTTCCGGTTGTCTTTAATGATATACATAATATTGACTTTGTGACGAAAAATGAGTCTTTATTATATGTTATTTCTTATAATCTACTCGATGTACTCAATGGAACCTGCGAAAGGTGATTCGGATTGTATGAACACTCTGAAAGAAAGGGAAGCTGGAATTTTAAGTAATATCGCAAATTACAAAACAGCTTCCTCTAAAAGAACTCACCTTTGGGGTTCGGTATATTATCCTTCTAAAAAGTCGTTGCTTGGTAAAGCGATAATACAAAATTGTGGAAATATTGAACCGCCCAACTGTCCGGCCGACGATCCAGAGTATAAAAAGCGTCTTGCATCAATAGAAAGCAAATGCAAAGCATGGATAAAAGCGAACCCAGGAGCAAATGCCACGCAAATTCGATGTGTATGGACAATATGGTTGACAATCATTACTATCTGTTTCAATTTCTTCCGTGAATAAATTGATTTTGCAATAAAATATCCGAATTTTTATGCTCCGTAAAGAAATAGAAACCAAATGCAAAGAATAGAAATTCAACGCAAATTCAACCTTGATGGACAATATGGATATCATATTCTCAATTCTCAAATGTTTATTTGCTTCTCATGTTGTAAGTACAAAGATCTTAGGGTACATAATTTTTAGACACAAACATGAACCCTGAAAGGGTGTTGCAATTAAGGTATATAAGCACCTCACAATAATACTTAGATTAACTTACTAATTTAAACTTAACATAATAATAACAAATTGAGCTTTAAATTTTAGTTTTCACTTTTTACAATATTAAATTACCTACAACTTAGCTTATTTTACTTTATTTATAACAAAATAAGTTTTTTTTTAATTAACATTAGATACTAATGGATTTCTTTGTCGTCTAAGAATTCTTGAACTGTGTAGTAACACTTGTTCAGTAAAATATGTTTTAATGCCTTTTTAAATTTTCTTGGATCATTAATTGATTTCAATGAAGTTGGGATTTTGTTAAATATTTTTACTGCCATTGCAAAAGGGCCTGAATGGTACATTTGTAGTTTTGAAAAGGGTGTAGTTAGTTTGGTTGCTGGGCGTGGATTCAGGGGTCGGGAATATTGTGGGAATAGGTGTAAATTATTTTTAACAAAGTCACTTATTTCTAGAATGTATATACTTACTGGGAAGAGATAGGTTCTTTAAATTTATAAAATGCTTTTTACAACTTTCTGTTTTTTGGATATTTTGAATAATTCGTATTTTTTTGTAGTCTAAACAGTAGTATAGTATTAGAGCTATTACCCCACATTACAATGCCATACTGCAACCAAGCATGGGCATATGCATAATATGCATTTATTGTCGTCTGTCTGTCTGTCGTTATTTTTAGTTCGTAGAGGGCATATGTAAAGCTCAATAACTTTGAAACAATTTTTTTTATATGACTCTTCCAGTTGACATTTGAATCTATATTAATTCCTAGTAGTGAATAGGTATCAACAACTTCGAGCTGTGTATCTTGGTACTGATATTTAATTTCTAAAGGAGTCTTTTGATTTGGGAGGAACTGCATTATCTTTGTTTTATCAAAATTTAATAAGAGGTTGTGTTCATTTAGCCACTTAACTATTGTGTTGAGTACATCGAGTAGATTATAAGAACTAACATTCTTATAATCTACTCGATGTACTCAATAGAACCTGCGAAAGGTGATTCGGATTGTATGAACGCTCTGAAAGAAAGGGAAGCTGGAATTTTAAGGGGTTTCGCAAATTACAAAACAGCTTCCTCTAAAAGAACTCACCTTTGGGGTTCGGTATATTATCCTTCTAAAAAGTCGTTGCTTGGTAAAGCGATAATACAAAATTGTGGAAATATTGAACCGCCCAACTGTCCGGCCGACGATCCAGAGTATAAAAAGCGTCTTGCATCAATAGAAAGCAAATGCAAAGCATGGATAAAAGCGAACCCAGGAGCAAATGCCACGCAAATTCGATGTGTATGGACA